CTTTTTCATTACCCATGCGACCAGGCATCTTTTTACCCTTGGGAACACCTTGGTTAGTACCACGACCACCACCCATAGAGCCAATTAAGCGATGAGGATATCCTCCTCCGTGGGACATGGCTCCTAACGCGAACCCATATCTTTTAGTTACTCCGGCAGTGCCTTTACCTCTCGAAGTACCAGTAATTTTAATTTTGTCCCCTACTTGAAAAAATGTTAAATCTACTTGGGAACCAACTTCTAATCCCGACATATCTCTTATTTCTTGTAAATGTCTCTTCGGCGGAACATTATTTTTTTTTAAGTGACCTATTAAAGGTTTATTAAGATTTTTTTCCGAGCAATCACCAAAAGCAATTTGACAAGAATTATATCCTTCTTTGGCTTCGGTTTTCACTTGAGAAACTATGTTATTACCAACTAGTATTGGGGTGACTGGTATTAATACTCCCTCCTTGGTGGTAGAAATTATTTGGGTCATTTGCCATTTGTTGCCTAATATGCCGACTGTTTTCATGTGTATATTAATTATTTTTACTTCTTTTTGTTACCTTACTTCTCAAGAATCAAATTATTAAGCCCAACACAACTACTACTATGAGACTGATAGTAATTTTTCCAAAGGTAGTTTTCAAAAAAGGTGCCGGAGGGGAAGTATTAGGATTTTTATTATTTTTCCTATCTTGTTCTTTTTTCGCTTGGATGGCTTTTTCCATCTTGATTATTTTTTCAGCAAGTTCTGAAATAAGAAGGGTAATGGTGTTTTGTTTTTCAGTGGATAAATTCCGATAAACTTTGTTTTCTGTTTTATTGTTAGTAGCATAATTGGTCAAGGCTACTTTTTTGGTTTTTAAAGTTTGTAGAACACTTTCATCCAAATCGTCACCAAAATCAGTATCTATCTCTGCTTTAATAACGAAGTCCTTTATTAATTTAATTAAGGCTTTTTCTTCTGGACTAGCATTATCTTTTTTTTCTCTTATGGCCGCAATAATTTGGGCCCGGGGGTAAGATTTTTTCTCAACACTCTCTTTTAAACTACCAGCAAATTTTTCATTTTCTTTCATTTGTTGGTAAATTTGATTTAGTTCTGCCACTGTTTGGGCTTCTGCCATGCGGCTCTTTTCAATAACTTCTTGTCTTTTTTTGGAGAAATTGGCGATTTTTTTCCAAGCCTTGGTTGCATAACCATCTTCATCGCCAGGATTTTCTTTATGGTTATTTACCGCTTTTCAAGACTCAGTATAGTTTTGGGCGGTTTCTAATTTTCCTTTGAGGTCTTTTACTTCTGAGGTTTCATCAATCCCTGTAATTGCCAGGGCTGCCTTAGCTCAGGAAAAAATATTTGTTGCTTGCTCAATAGCTAAGATATTATTCTTAATGTTTTCTACTATTTTTCGGTAAATTTCTTCATTGCCAATAACAGTTTTTAGTTTGCTTTGAACTTTGACCAAAGCCAAGGCCTCCTCTACTCAAATTTTGTCCTTGTTATTCTTAACTTTCTTTGCGATTACTCAAGCTTTTCCTTCCTCACTGTTGGTTGCTGCCGAGGAGAAAATTTCTAATTTCTGTAAAGTATTATCAGGAGAACTTCCTCCGTAAGCAAACTTGATTAATTCGAGTAGTTCTTTTAATTTTTCGACAGTTTTCAGGGTAATTCCGTCAACCGTTTTCATATTTTTAACTTCCTGGTAAATCTGCTTGGCATAGGGGTCAGTTTCAGAATTAAGTAATTCCTCTATTTTTCTGAGAATTTCGGCCGAAAGACTATTGTTATCATTGGGTGAAGGAATATCTGGATTTGGTTGCGGTGGTGGGTTGGGACCTGGTCCTCTATTTTCGCCAAGAGCCGCACTTAAAGCACTAATTACTTTGTCAATTTTTCTCCCCCATTTATCAACTAATTTTCACTCATGACTGCTCGGGTCGCCGCTGGCATTAGTTTTAAAATTTTGTAAATCATCTCTGGTTTGTTTGATTTCGCTCTCACTTCAAGTTCCATTAGCATGATTTCCAGTCTCATAACCAGTGAGAATATCAATTCATTTTGATATTATTTGGTAGGCCTTGTCAACTTTGTCTTTGGAATCCTTGTTATTTGCGTAGGAGAAATTTTGTCAGTCGTTATTAAGAAAAGGTTTAAAAAAAATATGTCTTCCGCAATCATGACTTTTTAAACCTTTGTTGAAGTAGATATCTAGGATTTCTTTTTTACTTTTGCCCTCTATTTCGTTCAGAAAAAGCAGACTATTATCAACATTATGCATATCCTTATAAGGCCTGCCAAAAAAGGCCAAATCAATGGCCGCATCTAAATCAGGTGCCATTAAGATATCGTAAGTAATTTTGGTTTTACCAGCACTAGCGGCTCCGCCAGAGAGGTTCTGATAATAACCTTTCGGACTAATATCGGCAACTTCAAAACCAAAGCATTTTCTCTTATCCGTTTCTTCACTTTCTGTCTCCATATTTGTCGAAAGGAATTTTCGAAAACTATCAATTCGTTCTTTTTGATACTGAGGTGCTCCCGTCGCACACTCATGACCGAAAAGGATTTTATGTTTTCGGCCGCTGGTAGCAGCAATCGAAGCAGTTTGGGCAGGGTCAATAATCAGAAAGCCCCGATATTTTCCCCCTTTGAGAGCTTTTTTGATGAACTCAACATTCGGATCACCAGGCAACAAATGGTCATCGCCACTTTCACTAGCACCCGGAGTCTGGTCTCCTGAATAATAAGGCTTCCCAATCGTAACTGTACCAATTTGTGAACCACCTCGTTGAGCAATAGCAAAACCATTGGCATTGGCTTTTAATATTTGGTCCACAGTGGCAAAGCCAATTTCGGGAGAACTTCAAACGGCAAATTCTCTGAAAATATTAACTAAATTCTTAATTCTATCTCTAAATATATGAGGTTGCTTACCAAAACCAAATATCCCAGTTTTACCCGGAGATTCTCGCAAATCAAAAAGGTCTTGCTTTATAGCATCTCCCGAAGGGTAATAATAAACCAATAGTTCATTAAGTTTAGTGGCTGAATTACTAATGTTGCTTTGAGGACTTTGATAATTAGTTTCTAAATCAGTTAGCAAGTCTTCCAGAGCAAAAAGTTCTCTTTGGTAATTTTTAAAATCGCTAGGATTATATAAAGATGGCGGAAAACCATCATTAAAAAAATAGGAAGAAATATCAATGCTGTCGAGGCCATTGCCAAAATCGCTAGTATTTAAAATTAAAGTATTAGTTGCCCCATCAAATTCTATTCCTCTATCGTAATCATTTTTTTCTATTATAAAACTTCAATATTCGTTACCTTTTCTTATTTTATGCTTTAAATTTAGCAAAGCAAATATTTTTCGGGCACTTTTTTCATCGTTGGCAACGATTTTCAAATTCATTATGTCATACTTAACATCTATATCATTTCCCCCTTTGTCTTTGATTTGAAGTAAGTTAGTATTGTCATCCTCTTTTTGAATATAAATGCCACCTGGAAGAACAAGTTTGGCATTGACATTATTACCTTCTAGACTTAATTTACTTTTACCTTCTTCGATTAAAGATTTTATTCTTATTGACATATAATATTAAATTTAATAGGAAGAGGAATTATTCTACTCTTGTCTTGACTATTAACTTTTTTTTTTTTTTTTGCTATTTCGTTCATAAGTTAACTTACTATTTTTAGTTTATTATTTTGCTTGAAATCGTGAGGACTGATAAAATTTCGCAAACCTTACTAGTTGTTTTTCTAATTCGGCAATTTCTTTTCGCCGAGACAAAATTTCAGTTAACTCTTTTTTGCTCAACTTACGACTTAAATTACTTTTGGCTCTTGCTAACTGTTTTTCGACAAAAGAACTTTCTCCTCTTTCTTGTTTTGCTTCTCAGTAAACTTCTAACCATTCTTTTTCCTCCTCCGTTGGTCCACTTTTCAACTCGCTTAGTTCATTTCTTTTCTTGACTAAGTATTCATGAAAAAAATGCTTGTAAGGATCATGTCTATTCTGCAAATCAACTAGTTGTTGAGACAGAGTATAATTTTTTGATTTTTTAGTTATATATAATGAACTAATTGTTTCTATTCTTGCCAACATAATAATTTTTTTTATTATCTTTATATATTATAAATTTATTTTAAGTTGATTTAAGTTGGTTGTCCGCTTTAATGACAAAAAAACTATTAATAAAGTTAAATGGAAAAAAAGGAATTACAAAAACTAGCTCAAAAAATCCAATTAGAAATAAAAAATGAGGAGTTGCCTACTTATTTGGAGACTTTTGAGCACTTGGAAAAATTACTAACCAATTTTAAAAAAGTTCGGGTGGGGGAAAAAGTAAAACCTATGAAAAGAATTGATGTTGGTCATCTAACCTTGAAAGATTTAACAAAACTAAAAAAGAAGTTTTCTCAACAGAGAGTTAGTCAAAAAGACCGTGAAAAAAATTCGCTAAACACTGATGATGGTTTTGTCTTGTTTAAAAATTAATCTTTCTCTTTTTTGCAATTATTGCTATCAGTAGCAAAATTATAATCCCACTGATTATAATTGTGGTTCCGATCACTACTTTGGAAGTTAATTTGTTAGAATAATTCAGATTATTTTTGGGATTTTTGCTCTTGGGACCATCCTTCTTTTTATCGGGCTCGGGTTGATTAGGAGAATTATTATCCGGCACGTGCCGAGTGGGAGAATCAGGATTTTGTCGGCTTTGTTGAATGTTAGTCCGAGCCAGTTTCACTTCTTCAAAATTTTGGCTGTGTTCGATTGCTCGGTATTCACCACTTTGTTGTTCAGTACCAAGTGATTGTTTAACTGCTGCTTTAAACTTGGTTAAAATATGCTGATAGGCTTCATGTTCT